GAATGATGCAAAATATGCATCATGGCTTGCTGAGGTCTCTTCCTAAAATGAAAATATAGTATTAGCAGAGGAGGGTTAGCATCAGCAAATATATAAGAAATTATTATCTGCAAGTAAGACATTAATCAGTGCAGATTCAAAGCATGAAATGCACACAACTAAGAATGAGACTTATTTTATCTGAATTTCCTTTCCAGCTTGGACTACAGCGGTCCCTCCCGAGAGTTCTTCTTCCTTCTGTCTCAGGAGCTCTTCAATCCTTACTATGGCTTGTTTGAGTATTCAGCCAACGACACTTACACTGTACAGATCAGCCCCATGTCTGCGTTTGTGGAAAACCACCTTGAATGGTAAGATCTGCTGTCCAAATGTTAAGCAGAATGAAACAGTTCAGCTGGATCCACATAATGAAGGTTATGTGTGTTTCAAATGCTGTCAGTTTACATCAGGTTGTATGTAAATCCCATTTCTGCTATTGTCGGATGGGGTGGAGGAGTGAAATGGAGCAGGAAGAGAAAGAGGGAGTGTCTGCGTGTAGATTAAATGATAGGATCTGAAGAGAGGAGACATTATCAGGCCTTTTACTGAAATGGATGTTCTGATGCTAACACATTATTTGTGCCCATCTCTATGTGAGTGCAGAAGTTGCAGTGGGGCAAGACGATTCAAATGCTTTTCTTTATCCTGCTGTCTTCATATCCCTGTGCAGAGGTCAGGTCCAACTTCTGTCCTTCAAGTCACTTGAATGTAAGAACTCAGCAAGCCCAGAGAGGCCTGGGAATTGCATGACTGTGGCTCTGCCCGCCCAGTGCCAGCTAGCTACCTGGACACTGCCATATTGCTTCTTGTCAAAGAGTAATATTTGTGCTGTCCCTGCCTGCCTGTGGCACAATGCCTCCAGGAGCTCCTGCTGGGGTGGAGTGTCTGATGATGCCCCTTACTGTAGGTTGTACCTGAACAGCCCACTTTAGCCCTATTTAATGTTGTAGCCTCTGAAATAGCTCAGTTTTTATGTGATGGGACCAGTAAAAAAAAAAAAGGTGCCGGTACTCCGGGAGAAAAGTTGTTGAGCTCTGACTGGACGTGCCGGTACTGCATACAGTACCGTCACAAAAAAGCACTGCCAGCAAGTATGGGCTCTCCTCACCTACAACGTGCAGGTTGAAAATCTGTGTGCTGCTTCACCTGTGTCTTTACAGATATAATTCTGATCTTCTCAGTTTAGTCTCTGCTAAATTATCTCTTAATAATTTGAGATGTGGTGCACTGTACTGTAGGCTGCTAATTCCGAGCTTTGTTTCCTATGAACAGAAGCACTTGTTGGGATTTCATCATGGTAGTAAAATATTGACATATCGGTTATTCTTACCAATGATTTTCTTCGTTGAGGGAATTTCAGTAGACTCACATCAGAAGGGTTTTTTTTTTTAGCAGAGTATAATACATAGCTCATTCAACTTGTGAGTTCCATATGCTCATCTGTTCTAGGAAACACTTCTTCCTTCTCATTAAGTTAGAGTGGGAGTAGGAAGTCTCATGTCAGTAAACTGTTCCATTTGGGATCTGTGTGTGGTTGCAGTAGATGGAGAATACATGTGCCTGGAATATAGGAGCCATGTCTGAAATAAATGTTTGATACATAATCACTCCCATGAAGTTGAGTACGATGGGCTCAATGATTTGTAATCTGCAGTACGCATATCAGAATTCCTCCCCACCATCATTCTCAATCACGGGTCAATTTAGATATTGCAATGCTTCCTTATTGCTCTGCAGTCCTGTGTAAGATACAGTCATCCATTGTATGGCCTAGTTTTTAATGGCAGCAACGCTAAATCCTCCATCTGCTTTTCAGGCACATCTAAATGAGCTCCAGAGTTCAGTGGCTGCAGTTACGAAAGGAATGCATTTTGGTTTCTATGCACCTTTCCAATGTCTAAAAATTCTTTCTAAGAGAAGAGCTTAGCAGCCATTTTCTCCTCACAGGTGGTACAATACAGCCTGCTAGAGAGAAGAGACACTTTGTGCTCTCTCCTACTTTTCTTCTCTCTCATTTTGTTGTTATCGTACCAAAATGGGGTTAATGTGGAATGAAAGTGCTTGGTTGCTCTTTGTGTACAGAAAATATATGTCTGTCTCGGTATTATATCTAGACATCATTGGTCAGAAGGATGAATCAGTCACTGCAAAGGGAGGGCCTTGTGAGCAGTGAAAGGAATGTAAACCAAAATATGGGAGGTGTGCATGAGCCAAGGGAAAAATAAATAAGAGTGTAGTTGTTCAGTGACAGCACTTGAACTTTTGTTGATATAATTCGCTGAGGTCAAAATTTCATAATCAGCCTGATCGATTTCATAGCTGGCTTTTAGTGTCCAGATATATTTTCTCTTGCTATGCATACTGATTAGTAGATGGCTATTAATATAAAGACAATATTTTACCTCATATAAAAACATGCAACTCCAGTTGACTATATCATAGAATAATAGAATAATAGGACTGGAAGGGACCTCAAGAGGTCATCGAGTCCAGCCCCCCGCCCTCAAGGCAGGACCAAGCTCCACCTACACCATCCCTGACAGATGTCTATCTAACCTGTTCTTAAATATCTCCAGAGAGGGAGATTCCACCACCTCCCTTGGCAATTTATTCCAATATTTGACCACCCTGACAGTTAGGAATGTTTTCCTAATGTCCAATCTAAACCTCCCCTGCTGCACTTTAAGCCCATTACTCCATGTCCTGTCCTCAGAAACCAAGAGGAACAAATTTTCGCCTTCCTCCTTGTGACACCCTTTTAGATATTTGAAAACCACTATCATGTCCCCCCTTAATCTTCTTTTTTCCAAACTAAACAAGCCCAGTTCATGAAGCCTGGCTTCATAGGCTTCTCTAGACCTTTAATCATTCTTGTCGCTCTTCTCTGCACCCTTTCCAATTTCTCCACATCTTTCTTGAAATGTGGCGCCCAGAACTGGACACAGTACTCCAGCTGAGGCCTAACTAGTGCAGAGTAGAGCGGCAGAATGACTTCACGAGTTTTGCTTACAACACACCTGTTAATACAACCTAGAATCATATTTGCTTTTTTGGCAACAGCATCACACTGTTGACTCATATTCAACTTGTGGTCCACTATGACCCCTAGATCCCTTTCCGCCATGCTCCTTCCTAGACAGTCGCTTCCCATCTTGTATGTATGGAACTGATTGTTCCTTCCTAAGTGGAGCACTTTGCATTTCTCTTTATTAAACCTCATCCTGTTTACCTCTGACCATTTCTCTAACTTGCTAAGGTCATTTTGAATTATGTCCCTATCCTCCAAAGAAGTCGCAACCCCACCCAGTTTGGTATCATCTGCAAACTTAATAAGAGTACTCTCTATCCCAATATCTACATCATTGATGAAGATATTGAACAGTACGGGTCCCAAAACAGACCCTTGAGGAACTCCACTTGTTATCCCTTTCCAGCAGGATTTAGAACCGTTAACAACAACTCTCTGACTACGGTTATCCAGCCAATTATGCACCCACCTTATCGTGGCCCTATCTAAGTTATATTTGCCTAGTTTATCAATAAGAATATCATGCGAGACCGTATCAAATGCCTTACTAAAGTCTAGGTATATGACATCCACCGCTTCTCCCTTATCCACAAGGCTCGTTATCCTATCAAAGAAAGCTATCAGATTAGTTTGGCATGACTTGTTCTTCACAAACCCATGCTGGCTATTCCCTATCACTTTATTACCTTCCAAGTGTTTGCATATGATTTCCTTAATTACCTGCTCCATTATCTTCCCTGGGACAGACGTTAAACTGACCGGTCTATAATTTCCTGGGTTGTTCTTATTCCCCTTTTTATAGATGGGCACAATATTTGCCCTTTTCCAGTCTTCTGGAATCTCCCCTGTCTGCCATGATTTTTCAAAGAGGTAGTATCCTGGGATATGACTGGTAGTTCTCTAAAGCCATCTGAGGCAGAATTTGGACCCAGGATTTAAAGTCCAAAAAATGAAATTAATCCATTGAGGGTATACAGACTCATGTATCTGGGGATAGGTTATAAACCTGCCTTTGGTTGTTTGTGTATGAGGGGTGAGACTTTTTAAAGCTCTCCACATTGTGCTAATTTGGCTCCCATTGAAGTCCCATTGGTAAAATGTATCTGAGGGTTTCCTATGCCCCTGACCTTACAATAAGATCTAAGACCAATAATATTCCTTTAGCTTCCAAATGTCTTGTGAAATGCCTAACTCACTGATATATATAAAGTGATTTGAGAGCCTCAGATTTCAGTCACTGGAAAAGTATAAAGTATTAATACTGGAGTCTTTTTTTAAACTTTGAAAATTTTAGGTTAGTCACAAGAATTACACAATCATAGATTGCTTCAGGTTTAGGGTATCCTTGAGCCTTTTGCCATATTCATGGCAGACTTTCAGTAGTACAAACAGTTTATCATTCACGTGGAATCTATTCTTGGGCCCCCTTTTCATTTAGGAAATATTGCAAGCCCATATAAGAAAATATTAGCTGTTGTCCACGCTGAGGGAATTGAGAAATCCACATTTTCTCTCCCAGCCAAAAATGTTGAGTTCTGCCCCCAGTAATGGCTTATTTTATGCCTTGTTCCTTGTGTAAACAACATTCCAAATCCAGAAGGAGCACATCAAAGCACAGAGTCGTCATGTGTATGCCAAATGAAAATAGAGACCTAGACTGGAAAATATTTCTCATGTAAGGAGAAAATGAGATTTAATATTTTTCCTACAAGCTTTCACTGAATAAGACTTTTTTTTCCAGATCTCATGTAAATGTTGTATGCACAAAACTAAGCGATATCACACATACTCATGTTTAAAAATTACACCTATGGAAAGAAAAGATATCTGAAAGAAATCTCACTCACTCACTAACCTAGATTGCCCATTGCTAATCTAAGTGCTGTGAACAACCTCTGTGCATTTAATTTAAGATGGACCATATGGAAGTGGTTATGGTTTTAAACACAGAGGGCTAAGTCTTGAGCTGCTGTAAATTCACCTAGCTGCATTGGCTTGAATGAAGATAGATGCATTTACACCAGCTCATGGTCTGATCCAATGTCTCTTCCTTTTCTTTTTTGAATTTTTCCGTGGATGTATCCATTTGAATGAGCACTAAGAGTCAGGCTCAGTAGCTCTGAGCAAGTTTCTCCACACATCTGTACCAGTTTACTTTCCCTTTCACTTGCTACACCCCTTCTAGTCCAGCCCTGGATTTCTTTTGATCAGAGACTGCCAAGGATGTTAAGCAGTATGGGATGTGGGGGGGGGGGGGGGGAGGTTCTCCTTGTCTCCTTGTTA